GTGTTAACTTGGTTAGGTTGAACTATATTTTGCAGCATTCCATTTCCTGTGTGTTTCAGATTAGGGTGGGCCAAAGAGAGATTCTTGTGGGAGGTTTGGAGGGTGGAGGGAAGCAGTGGCTGTTGCTTTGCTGATGTACTTCTTGGGTGTGAGACGGCGGCCAGGCCGCAACTGCTTCACCTCCTCTTGGACCCTTCTTCACCTTCTCCAACTCCCGGGCCAGGTGTGTGCGTTTAGCTCTGTGACAAAAGCTCCTGGCTTCTGCAGAACACCAGTACCACCAGGTACAGAAGCAACAAGAACTGATATGGGTTTCTGCCTGTCCTCATGGACTCCAGCTTGTTCTTAATTCCCCCACTTTACATTCATATTACCTTCCCAATGACCCCTCTGTGGCTTTCAAGCTCCAGTATCTGATACCAAGATGACAGCCTTACAGAGACTGCTTAACCAGCTCTCACAGTTGCCCAAGGTCAAATCCCTGTAGCAAATACCTTTATATCTATATATACATCTGTCTGTCTATCCTTCCGTCCGTTCGTCCATCCATCCATTCATCCATCCATCCTTCCGTCCGTTCGTTCGTCCATCCATCCATCCATCCATCCATCCATCCACCCACCCACCACTGCCCCCACCCATCCATTCATCTATCTATCTATACCTTTTAATGGTTCTGCTTCTCTGATTGCACACTGACTGATACAGGTAGCAATATGTGTTACCTTACATGGTAGATGAAGCCCAGATACTTGAAAGTGTTGGGTCACTCTAAGGCAGTGGCTTTCAAACTTAAGCGTGTATCAGAATCACCTGGAGGGCTTGTTAAAACCCAGATTGCCGGGTCCCACCCAAGAGTTTCTGATTCTCAGCTCTGGGTTGCGGCCTGAGAATTTACATTTTTAACAGGTTCCCCAGTGAGGCTGATGCTGCTGGTCTGGGGATCACATTTTGAGAACCACTGCTGTACAGTGTTGTACACAAAGGTGAGGGGTTACTCTGCCCAAACCAGGATCCCAGGAGAGCAGGATACAGCAGTGCCTTCCCTTGTAGGCAACAGGAATCCTGTGCCCTCCAGAATCACGGGGCCAGAGAACAAATGAGAAACCTGGTTCAGGCCTGCTCCACAGCCTGCTTCGGAGGCAGCCTGGGCCAGTGGCAGAAGAGCACAGGCTTTGGGGCAGGC